ACTTATGAAAATAGACGATTACTATCCTTTCCTTCCCGATAATCAATAAATAGACCATAAAAGGACGCATGAAATAAAGCTTATTCAAAAATATACGATTTGACGACTGTTGAAAGAAATGAAAAATATGCTTTTTACATATAAAATTCAAAGATAACTTTAGTTGTCATCTATTTTTTACGAATTTGGTAAGTATAAATATATCCACACATAATAACGAAATAACATGCAATAAAAAATTTCATTGCCAGTACGTTACTTTTCACTTTTTCTATTAATATAAAGATGGACAAGGAATAAAAATGGACAAGGTAAACAAGGATAAACAAGTTTTTAATTTCTATCGCTGATATTATATTGTCAACGCGGAGTTCTTAGCTGAGTAGTCAGGAGCCTTAAAATCATCAATAATAAACTAATTAAAAAATGGCCTATTATATCAGCCAATCACATGGAATAATGCCGCTCAAGCATCCCGCAATAAAGCATCGATGTTTGGGTCAAAATATAAATTAAAACGTGCATTTGAGAGATTAATAAAAAATTTTTCTTTCTATTTTAAAACTTAGAATTATATTAGATTTTCTTAAATAAAAGTAAGAAATAAATGTAATTATATGTCATTTAATAAATTTAAAATAAATCAAAGTTAAAACGTATTATTGTTATTACATTATTGTTATTGTATTATAAAAATGTTGTTAATGACATTTTGAGCTTCATTCTACTATAAGAAATGAAATTGAGACGTTCAATACAAATCTCTAAACTATTTTAAATTTCTAAACTTAATCTCTTTATATTTTTTTAAAATGACCTAAATTTTTTTCTTTTATTTTATTATTATTTAATTATTATAATTTATTTCTATTATTATTATTTAATTTTTTTCTCAAATGCACGTATCATAAACTTACTGCCTAGATTATTATTTAAAAAGATTGTATTTATTAATCATTTGTGAACTGCTGAAAAATTTCATGTTTGTAGAAACGATTGTAACATAAAACGAGTTGATTCGACGTTCTATCAACAATGTACGTTGAATTACTGTTACAATTAGGCTTCCGTCATCTGTACACGCGATGTAATAACACATAAATATTCATGACGACTATCTTTGATGTGCCGCACGATATATTTGTGACTACATATATGTAGTTTAGATGTAGATATATATCTTGTGGCAGAAAAAGAAATACTGCTCTTTGCTGTATATCGAAGTTAAAACAAAAGAGATGCCATAATAAAAAAAAAAAATAACAAAAATATACGTAAAATCTTTTGTATGCAAAGATTACAATGACGTTACGTCTCGTGGACAAAAAAAAATTTCTTATGTACAAAAAAAAAAACTATATAATTTAGTTAAACTACATCTGGGATAAATTTGCATGAAGCTGCTCGATCTTACCTGACTCTCCACCAACATGGCCATGTCCATAAACATGTCGTGCAGCTCCCTGATGGAGTTTTCGAGTTTAATAATGTCAGCGTGACGCGCCTCGATGTCCGCAAGGGTTTGTTTTGCTTGTTGCGTTTCCATGATGATCTGCGACAAGCGGTAAGATTAATTGGGTAGGAAGATGGCGAGCGATTATTAACGTTTCTCACGTAGGTACTACTAATAATAAGCGCGAGAGTAAGATCATTAAGGACGGTACCCCTTGCGTGAAGACAGCTGGATTTCCTTGCTCCAGCATCTCCTCGAGCTCCTCATTAGTGGTTGTTCTCCCCGCTGAAAAGAAACAGAGAGATTCCTTCGTCTCGCAAACAGATGCCAAACCCAAATGCGGATGCAATCAATTTTCCGTCAAGCCGCCGCCGCCGCCGCTACATTATTATTATTTATTCAACGAGCAAAGCGATTACTTCGGAAATCGGAAATATCGATACTGTACAAACACTAACTCTCACTGTCACAATTATCGTTTTACATCATAAGCTTATTACGGTTATAGCGCGTTCACGTTACGGCATTGAAAAATACAAGAAAATTACAAATATTGTAAATCAAATAAATAAATCGGCAATATGACGAAGAAGAAAATTCAATTACACTTGTTCAATAGAAAAAAAACTTTTGTTGGTAGCAAAGTAACAATCAGTTCGGTGCATTCTCCCAATTTTTCTTCAAACGGGGAACAAACACGAGCATTAGGTTGATGATTGCGTATTCCGAGACGGGCTCGAGATGTGACGAGATTGGAAAGGGCTGTTCCGCTCGAATAGGCATTCAGGCTGCAATGCGGCCAATCACGGCACACGGTATACTCACTGATCTCGAGCTGTCGTTGTATTCTCCCCTTACACCGCTCCCTGTAATCGGTCTGTGTCCGATTGTACTCCGTCATCACCTCGACGAACTTCCTGGATAACGTCGAGTGCTGGGTCTTGCGTATCCTCAGATCCGCTGACGATTTGTTCGTGTGCTCCTCCTGCTCGATGTTCTGCTCTATCACTAAACGCAGGAAAACAAAGTTCGGATTGTCGCAATGCGAAACGTTCTCTCGACGATCGCGGTGAATCGATCGAGTTTAATACATGTCGAACGAGCGAGCAACCAAACTGCGAGGGACTTACCCTTTAATTTAGCCCTCACTTTGTTAGCGGTTTTCTTGATATCGGACATGAGATCCTCGAGTTCCAGCTTCACCTCTGAAATTGAGAAAAGTTATTTATGTGTATCACAGGTCTCACAGTTCAGAGACCCATTATTTTCTAATGTGCCAAAGAAGACAGAGATAGAGATTTTATTTAGAATCTGGAGCAAGTCGCAAATGTCATTTCAAAGATTTGTAGATATCGGAGCGAAACTCGGTGTCTCACCGTGTTCTTTATTGAACAAGAAACTTTCGATATAAGCCAATATAAAATATTATACATAAAATACATATTTTAGATTTAAGAAAATAAATAAATAAATGGAAGTATATAAATTTACCGATCACAAAAGTTTAATCGTCAATAACATTAATCATATCTAAAGCAAAGGGAGAGAGAGAGAGAGAGAGAGAGAGAGAGAGAGAGAGAGAGAGAGAGGTGCTGCAATGCTTTTAAGAAGTTTGGCAATTCATGAAATTATGATGTTGACTCGTAATGTTATTTCAATTGCTTCAACGGTTCCGGTTCTAGCAAGAAAATACATTTGTAAAGCACATTATGCAGCATCATATTGATCGAAGGAACGGTCCATGCATGGCTTGTCGAGCAAACTTTCGAATTCCCGCAAGACGGTGCCGGTTGCTGCTATCTACCGTTTCGCGGTAAATTTACAATCCGATCTGACTTCCTGCCCTCGCAATTCTTATTTCGCCCGTATATTTATCCTCTCTGTAACTTTTCCGTACTCACTAGTACTCGCTAGTACTCGCGATAACGTTCGAAGTTACTTCCTGGACCATCGAATTACAATTTGCCATATTATTTCGCGTAGTATATATTTCGCGATATTCAAAAGCGAATTTACTCGCCGCAGTCGGAATAATTACGGAATTACCCGTGATGAATTTTAAATAATTTACGAACTCATATAATTTGATTTCACGTAAATTAACGTGCATATTGCGTCCAATAAGATATTTTTAGATTATGATTATTTTAAGATATATTTACATATTTTATACGATGTAATGTATTTTATTTAATACTTTAATTAATACTTTTTTATTTCGTTATAAATTTTATTTTATTAAAAAATATTTGCATAAAAAGTCATTTGGAAATTTCTCTTATTTTCAAAAGGCCTTTTAATTTGGGATTTATCTGTTATGTTTCGCAATGTATGTCGCAATTTTTTTCGACGAACACAAGTTACAAGATTGTATTTGTAACCAATTAGCTGTGCAAGCTGATTCCGACACGGAATCCTCCGATATCTAATTACGGGTAAGTGTAGAGAAGAGGGGGGTCATGATCCTCTTGATAATATCAGGTTTCAATATTCTGCGAAAACGTCCCACGCATGAACGCATTAAGCGTGTCCCACGCATCCAATGCCGCCTACATTCTATACGAGTCTAAGCCCCGCGATCTCTGCTGAAAAGCCCTCCCTTTCCGATAGGAACGGACATTATGATTCGTATCTTTCGTACGTAAGACGAGACGTATCGCGTTTTATGAAGAAGATAACAAGGAGGAAATACAAAGTTAGAGAGAACTTTCCCTCTTTTTATCGATCCATATCGATGTTACGAGTAGAATTACACGACAAAAAAAAAAAAAAGAAAAGAAAAAAAAATGAAAAGATCAAGTTAAAATCTCTTCCTTCCCGATGAAAGAAACATTGTAATCTTTGAATACGCCGCACGCTCGTAATATACATACGATGATGCGCTACCGTTCGAATCGCAAACATCTTTTAAATGGAGATCCCTCACGTACCGTGGCGGAACGTGAGGTTTGCATTATATCCACCTATGTGTTATGCCACATATTTCCCGAGTGTGCCCCTGAGCCACCGAGTCTGCCAAGACACCCTCGAGCGCCTCGAATCCAGTTGCCGTGAGATTTAGCGTCCGACCGCCGGAACCCCGACGCTGCGTTCCCCTTGAGAGCTCTCGAAAATGCTGAGTAATAAGAACGTTTCCCCGAAATACGTTCATCTTTATTGTTCGTTTAAACGACGTTATGAGTTAACGTAATCACAACTATTTTCTTCTGTGAACATTTTTAAACGAAGTGTCGAAAAGCAATCGAATCGAGAGATAGAAATTTATCTAGACATGTACATCACGCAGAAAAAAATATAAAATCTTGCACTTTTTATCTCAAAAATATATATTGAAAATATTTTTTCTTCCGTTACGTAATAATTGTAATAACATCGATGCTTCTCCTTTCCACAATTATTTTAATCATTACGAAAGAATTAAGTCTGACATTTAATAGAAAATGTTAATTTCTGTCTTTAAACAGTAAACAAATTTTTAACCAAAATCCATTATGTATCAAGAGCTCCTGAGAAAATTTAGCTAATTAACTTCCAACTAACCACATAACTCGTTGTTACCTCACGTACCAACGCGTTGAATATTCCTCTGGGGAAGAGTTTTAGCGAAATTTCTTGGCTTTGCTTAAAATGCAAATTTGCCTCGAGTGTGTTCTTCGCGCTTCTATCGGTCGCATCTACCGCATCTAGATTCACGAACGCCATCGCGGCGGCAAGCCGCCGTTAAAAATCGAAGAAGACCGAATAAGAATGAAGGTGCCTGAAAAATTCACCCTCACGCGCGCCTTTCCAGTCACGATCGGACACTTAGTCGCAGCGCGATTTAAGCGTTGCCGTTATCAGACGCGTGCAAAGGGCATCTTTATTGCATCAGATAAGACAAAAGGAAGGAATAAAAAGATAGGGGCCTGTTTAGTTTGATCGATAATGTATGAAGAGGATGGAGGGAATAGTTCCGTTCGCCACTGCTCTGATGATCGTTCGATGTGCATATTTTGTGGAAAATTTGACGTTTCACCTTAATTACCATGTCTCATCTGATTAAAAAATTTATGTTACTTTTCAATCAAAGTAGTTTGATACGTACAAGATGACTTTAATTAACAAACTGCATGATAAAATAATATATAACAATTTTAGTATTATAGAGTATTTAATAACTTTAATAAATAATTCGTTCGAATGGTTTGACAATTATTCAAGTAATAATTAATTATTTAATTATCTTACAAAATAAAAACCCTTTCTTACGTTCTTTTTTAAATTTTTATCGATCATTCGTTTTTAATCGAGCAATAAAAAGACGATTATAAGCGAAAGAAAATATATGTAGAGGGAAACATTTTAAATTTTAATTTAACGCCAATAATCGCCTCAGATTGGAAAATAAGATAAAAACGGAATTTTCTTGCTGCGATACCAGGCACTTGCATATGCGGAAGAAAGTAACGATTAGGATTGTTTACACGGTTAGTAGTGTGAAGCTCGATTATGGGAGAGAGATATCAAGTTTAATCGCATCCGAATGCAACGACCTGGAATACATAAACCCTCACCCTTGTGATTGGAGCAATGCTCATAACGAGTTTACAACATGTGAAGCTCCCGCTGTAATAAAGGCCGCCTAAATTTCCGGCCGAGCTTCGAGGCCGTAATGTATCTTGGTTTCGATTAGTTTCAGTCAAGAAACTTAATACGAGGCTAATTTCATGATTTATGAAAGAATATATAAATTAAATAGTTAAAATAATTAGAACATAAGGAAGCATCATAATGCAATAACTTTCAATTATATTATTGTAATTATCATTTTTCGGTATTTAATGTTTTTATGTTGAAATATTATTAAATATAAATATAATAGTTATTAAAAATTATTTTACCATATACATATGTAGTAAAATATAATTTTAGTGATTATTATATTTATATTTAATACTTTGCAATACAGAGATAATTCAGATACAGTAGTATAGTCCGAAACTAGTCAGACGCGAAGTAAGTCTTAACAAGAAAAACGACTTTCACCATAAAGCAAGAAAGATATTTATCTGCAATTATTTATTTTTATAAACTGCAGTAACTCTAATATCTTGATGACACAAACTAATATGTTTCTAAATTCTAAATTCTTTCTTATCATCAAGAACTTTTTTTAATTTTCTCTGTCGCCAAACGAGCAGTCGTAAAAACTTTTCATTTCTTGATTCTCAGTATCGAGCTCTCTTTTCTTGGCAACACTGTTTTCGAGTAAAAGAACTCTTTTGGCCGAGATATTTCCATCGATATGATAAAGCGCAGTAGTAATATCCGTAAATACGCGGCCCGAATGAATGCTCTGCGGCATCATGCTTATATAATGGCCAGTATTTGTAATCTGGAGGCAAGATATACAGAGAATATATAAGAATAAATACTATATATGTGTATATATATATATATATATATATATATATATATATATATATATATATATGTGTGTGTGTGTGTGTGTGTGTGTGTGTGTTAAAAAAGGCTGCGGAGTTACGAATACATCTTTGATAAGCGTAACTTAATTTTATATTTATCTTGGACCTCGATCGGTGAAACCAGCCGACCGATGTGCGTCGCGTGCGATTCCGTCCGCATTTGGTTTAACAGGTTTAGGTTAAGGGGCTCTGTATGTATAGAGAAAAGGATAATCCGGACCTATCTCGGCTTTTTCCCTTCTACGTTTCAGCTCACGCCAAGATTCTATTCTCTTGCACGTGCCGCGGCACGAAACTAGTTTCCCCCGTTGGCGATCGCAGTCGCGATAATTTCAACGATTCCGAAAATCACTTGCCGGAAAGTTTTCTTTTTTGCCTGTAGCAGGCGGCAGATATGAAAGATTATAAAAATGAACGATGGAACGAGAGAAGGTAAGTAGCACAAAGATATATGGGAGAGTTGGCCGTCGGCCAAGTAAAATTCCGAGAGAAAGAGATGTCGTTAACCCTTTACTGCGGGATAAAATGTCGGATAAAATTTCAGAGTGTAATATAAATAGCGGAAAAACATGTATTTGGAAAGTAATAAATAAAGTTCACGTTGCAATATTAGAAGCGCGTTTTTAAAGTAGCGCTGTTATATTTAAGTGCGCTTAACGCACACTTACGTTTAAACACATGTGGGCAATTATCGTTCTTTGATGTACAAGTGACAACTTGAGGAAAGTTTAAAATAACAT